CCTGGAGGAGAAGAAGAGGAAGATCCTGAGGAGTCTTCGTCATCTGGAGGGACTCGGCACCCTGAAATCGCCAGACAGCGAGAACCAGATCCTGCAGATGATCGCCAAGGTAACGAGACCTGCCTCCATCTCCTCCTATTCCAGCGTCCTCCTTCACTACATCCTGCCTGCAAGCTCCCGCCCTCCTCTGCACGTGTGCAAACTGTTTTACCCAGAATGCACCAGTGGCCTGTTGCCTGCACGTCCCTGACTATGTCGCTGCACGTTTCCCCACCAGGACATCCGTCAGCAACGTCTCCACCGCCAGCGCAGAGGGGCGGAGCTCCTGAAGCTCCATCAGACTCTCAGCAGCCTGCAGGCTAAGAGCAGCTTCCACAGTGAGCAGGTGGACTATTACAGGCATTACATCACTTCCTGTCTGGACAACCTCACCGCCAGGTATGCACAAGCAGGTGTTTTTGGGTAACGACCGAGTTTTCCTCATCTCAGGCCATTAGCATCAGATATAACTTCCTGTTCTCGGACATGGCCGCGCCAAGCGTTTAGAAGTACCGCAGCAATGAACGGCGATGGGGCGGGGCTATGGTGACATCACACGGCTGTGGTGTGAACCAGGTCGGTTTTGGGGCGGGACGAACAAACGTTTGTCACACAATCAACAACACAAGGGATAAACTAAAGTACAACAAATGAAGTCATTCGGGAACAGGTGAGCCGAGGTCGACCACGAGCCCCGGGTACAGGAAGCGCTATCAGAGGCGCCAGAATACGAGAGCTTTAAACCGTGCGTTTGAAATCTGAGTGAGGAGAAGCTCGCTGAGGTACGAGCTGAATGTTTGCATGAAAAGTTCAAACATCACCAAGAGCGTTGGCGTCACGAGCCGGCATCCACGCCGACCTGCCATCAGCTGACCTTAAATATCCACCAACAGCTCCTGAAACAGGAAAGAGGCGCTTAGACCGCGTGTGTCCCGAAGGTGCACGTCGCGAGGCTGTCAGCGAGGTCCATCACTGATTGGCTTTTTCTTGCAGCAAATCGACCAATCAGAAGGCGGCAGACGGCAAAGGGAGGAACAAGCTTCCTGCTCTGAGCTACAGCGCCACCCGGCTGCACGAGAAGGGCGTTCTGCTGGAGATCGAGGACCTGCCAGTCACGCAGTAAGTGGAACGCACAGACAGCACACGTATGACGCGCAGCGAGGACGCACGCTCACGATCTCTGTTTCCAGGTTTAAGAACGTCATGTTTGAGATCGCTGCCGGGCCTGAGAGAGGAAGTTTCAAAGTAAAAGCTCGATTCCTCGGCGTGGAGATGGAGGAGTTCCTGCTCAAATACCAGGTAGGACCGAGGCCATGGCGAGCCGGGCCACATGAACCAGGTGATACGAGTTTAACGTGTGTGTGTGTGTGTGTGTGTGTGTGTGTGTGTGTGTGTGTGTGTGTGTGTGTGTTAGGACCTGCTGCAGCTGCAGTATGAGGGGGTGGCTGTGATGAAGATGTTCAGTAAGGCCAAAGTCAATGTGAACCTCCTCATCTTCCTCCTCAACAAGAAGTTCTTCAAGAAGTGAGAGGAGCGGCACTCGGCTTCTGCGGCGAGGCTCAC